ATCTCGTGATCCCGCGGGAATCAATCTTTTGGCCATTAGCGAGCACAAGATAGAGGTGAGGTTTTGTGCTGGGGTCACAGTTTGTATATTCCCCACTGCCTAAGGATAAAAGGAAATCTCCACGACTGTATAACCACCAAGGAAGTACATGTACTACATAATACATTGTAGCTTACCAGAATTTCAATCTATTTGTAAAACAGAAATGTCTGCTCGCAGACTCGGAACATAAGAAAGATTTGAGAATTTTTGGGGATTCAGTTTTGCAAAGGTTCTTACTATCTAGCCTATTTTGTGCAGAAAAAGAGAAGCTGTATCATTATTAAAGGCTGTGTTAGCGTACACCTTTTTTCTCTATTCGGTAGATGGTATCTCTTTTATCACAGTAGGAAGGTAGAGGTATGATGTTGGTAAATTACCATTACAAGTACATGCTGCAAGCCCCAAGCATGACACAGGGTATTTTTAGATAAAGGTAATGTGCTAGAGCTGTACATTGTGTGGCGTAACGTCGTACATCACCAGCTTTGCTGGGAGTGGTACAATTTTTAGACAGAATTTTTCCACAGCCATTACAATTAAATCCTATGTCTGATTGCAGCGCAAAGGTACTTACTTTCTTGGTCACGACGTTCTTAGCCGCTTCGGACTGTATCCCCGCTTTCATGACGGGTAGGGCGTCTGTTGTGGAGAGAAGACGCGAGACGCTGCCTCGGAGCACACCGGCCATCTTTTTTTCCCAACCTTCCTGCTGAAAATCCTTGCAGAAAATCCTGTCAGATGACTTCAGTTGGAGCTAGGGCGTACGTGCACTTGCACTCTGACTGAGTCTGGCACAGGTTGAAGTCCAAACGGCTACGGGTTAATGATTAAGTGGAGTGGAAACAACATAGGCGGGTTCTTGAGTGGGTTGATGGATAATCTGTTACATGATTGGCTGCTGGAGCTTGTTTTACGTCAGAATTTGTCAGCCCTTGAACCCTAGAGGACCCTCCTAGTGGAGACTGAAGGATCGTGGGTACAACACACTCCACGAGCAGGTGTTTCTCACATTGATCTTCTTTTGTTGAGACAAAAAGAAAAAAACACAACGATCTGTCAACTTCATGTGCCTCGTCTGTGTAAGCAGGTACTAATTAATTTCCTTCATTGTCTAAAGACTACTTGTTAGATGATAGCTCTAAATTATTGATGATACATGAAGTAGCTGTAAACCAGCCACCAGCTTGACAACAGAATTGTGCCTTGATGGCATTCAGTACAAAGGTCGTTTTTTTTTAATGGCTCTTGGCAACATGCAACCAACATGGCCACTGTTTGATCTTGCCAGTTGCAGTAGCCCAGTAATTTGTACTAATTTGTCAGTCAATAACCGTCCACAGTGGGAGTCTCTCTCTTTGAAATTGTAGCCATCAAGAAAGTTCTGAAGCTTGCCCTCTACTGTTTTATGTAGGAAACAGTTAATAAAAGAAGAAAGAGCTGATACATGTAGTCAGTTTTAGATACAGAAGCTCCTTTTCATATCTTTATACTGTTTAAAGATAAATGGCAAACGGTTAATACCAGTTAACGTAGTATGCAGCCCAGGAGATATAGCTGGGAAGACAACTTCATCTATCATTTTACTGACAGGTGCCTTTGGGAGTTTGTGATATTGGAACTTTGGGAGTAATATCAAAAAGCAAGATACATGTGAGGAATCTGCAACTCGAACATTTCATGATTGTAATTCATTTCATGATTGCAGCCCCTGACATGCGTTACCATGATAAAAATGTCTTCTTTGATGTACTAGTATATTTCAGTGCTACTTTCTTTAACATATGGGAGGGAGGGGCTGAGTTTAGTCTTTTGGGAAGGTACTTAACAACAAATATTGATGCATCCAAAAAAATCTTGTGCTAATCTGAATGCATATCCCGTCAGCTGTGAACAGTTTAACAAGATATTTTCTCTGCTTTCTGGGTTGGATATGACATTTATATGCGATGAATGCCCTTTGAGGATCACATCATGGCTCTTTTCCTTCAGTCAAATTTCTAACAGGTCTGGCACCAACAATTTAATTCATGGCTTCTTTCACATTTCCTGAATTGCAGGAATCAAGTGAGTTTTCTTCAAGGCATAATTGGTCATCTTTTTATCATCTTTACAATATTGGGTTTGGTACTTGCAATTTTAGTAGCATCCAATCTTTTTCTCATTTCTTGCATATCATAAAACTGCATTAGCCTACTACTAGTACTACGTCATATATTAGCCTCAATATGGCAACTGTCATATTCAGGGCTGTTAACAATTACTAGTACAATTTTACTATGGTCAGTACTGACCAAGGAGGCCATATACATGTATATATATTATACTACTACCCAAAAATAATTTTGAAGCAGATCTTTTTATGCACAGCAGATCTACAAGACAGTATCAAACTGGCAAGTTGGTTTCAACTTGAAATGACGGAAAAATATACCAGCACTACAAAAAAGGAAGCCTGATAAAAACATGTCAAAAGAAGCCAAAGCCTAAACCTCTGCTCAGAGAATAACTCAAAGATGCACTCTAAAGCCACTTACTGACTGTCAGTTTCTCAAGGCCAGAGGCCTTAAGGTCTAGGAGAATGGACCAAATGTGTGGATGGATGGATCGTGCATATCACTGTATTTGACGTTATGAAAGAGGCTCCGAACACCAACCTCTGCTGTATAGAACTGCATTTGCTACACATATTTAAGCTGTCAAAATAGCTACGGCAAGATGGATGACAAAATTACCGGAGGTGCCAAACATTTTGATGGAATACAGGAAGTGAAGTTGACAGACTGTAATAGAAAGGGAATGATTAAGAACTCGGGAGAATTTCAACGTTCACACGTACATGTTTATATTATAAAGAATCTGTACATAGGTACTGCATAAATACATGTATCCCCATAAATCCTAGCCATTACCTAAAAAAGGACTGATGCCTTTGAGCATTGTTAGTAATAAGCATCATATATATCCCAGTAAAGTACTAGTATTTTGGTGAATTGACTGAAGACCCCACACTCAGAGAGATCAGGACAGATAACACATTTATTCAATCAGAAATCTAGAACACAGGCTAGGTATTTTCTTACAACATGACTCCCTTCAAAATCATGTTCTCTTTTTCTAAACCAGCCTGGGGAAAGAGCCTCCAGTTACAGGGACAGTTAAAATATGTCATATTACTTCACTTTTTGTAGACAATGTTTTTTTCATGGGATGATATACATGTATATAATATGTATAAAGCAATACCCGGTAAGATAGATTGAAAATTCTTTCAAACTTGTATTGATTGACAAATGAGCTTTGTCTCACCAGTTACATTTGTACTTTCATGTCAATTAATTGAAAATTCAGTACACTGTTTTTATAAAGCCTCCCTGGAATCAACAACTTGATCATGTAATGCAGTGTGGCTCTAGGTAATGCAGTGTGGCTGTGTAGTTCAACTGGAAATAAATCGGGAAGCCTTACTCAGAAGAGCATGGCTGCTGACATAGACTAGTGGTTTCCATTAGCGAGGTGGCAAGTCTGTGACCTTCCGTTCTAGCAAGTCCAAAGACGTATTCCTCAAACATTCTGTAGTGACAGTGGCTTGTCCGAGAACGGGTGGTTGTCTCTCCCTCAGGCTGGTTGGCGCTCTTCTTCTCATCTTCTTCCCCTTCTTTACTCCTTGCCCTGGTATCTCTTCAAGTTGCATAGGATCCAGACAGGGATTCCCATAACACCCGCCATGATGGCTGTGGCACCGATAGCTTTATCCTACAGAAGGGAGAGAAGAACTTCAGTCATAGAATATTACATACAAGACATTACAGATACAGTCTAACCTGTACAGGTCTACATAAGCACCACCTGGCTAATGTGACCACTTTCTAAAATCTAACTTGGTCCCTTGTCATGATTTTTCCTATTGACACAAGCATCAAGAATCTTGTCTATGCTGAGACCATCTTTTTGGGCAGCTTCTGTCTGTCTACATCAAGCCAGGCATACTTAATACTTGCAGAATTTTTAGAGTACATGTATCAATGAAATTTGCAAGTACGTGTACTAGTAGCAAGGTCAGCAGCCTCCCTGTGTTTCTGTAGCCTATATCTTCACTGATACAAAAATGCATTTTTTATAACTCAGTTTCGTTTTTCTTTTGACAAGATACATTGATGCGTTGATAGATAAACTGTTGTGTTCAGATTTCTTATGTACCATGGCAACTACAGTACTGTACTTGTACTTCAGCATGGTGTACATCTGCACAGTTGCAGTTCTGCTTTTGGCAGATAGGAGGCAGCTCATAAACACAAGTCTGGGTGGTTTGTAAATCATACTAGTACTGTGACATGGCCAGGGCTTTTGACAGGATAATCTTTGATGCTACATACAAATGTACGATGAATTGATATCTAATCCAAATGTTTCAAATGACTGCTGTTTTCATTATGTTCCTTTTGCAACTTGCTTTAAATTTTTATGAGTTGGACTTTCACTTTTTCATGCTAGATATTTTAAATGTGCAAATTTATTATTTGGAACATAATAATTATTATAGAACTAGGAGTGATAGAAATTAACAAAGAATTGAGCAGAAATTATGGGACTTAAACATACTGGCCAAATTATGGTTTTGAAAGTAAAAGTTGTTTTCGTTGAAGTTTCCAAGACATAATTGATGGTACAGACAAACCATGTTATGTACCAGTTAGTTGGTCATGACATATATCTAATTTAGGACCGGCTCGTTGACAAGTAGTAGTTGAGAGAAGTACTGAGGTTATGCATACACTTGAAAAAATACAGTAGATCCATAAATTATTTTTGTGTGTACCAAATATCTACCCATGTGGGTTTTGGGTTTAGTACACATGGTTTACAAATAATTACTTCTGCAACATTGTATATAATAAAATTTGGTCGATTGTTTTTGACTGAAATATTTGTGACATGTCACGTAAAAATTCGATACTGCATTCAAGATTTTTGAGTCCTTTATCTGCGACTTTAATTATACAAAGCAAGAAAAAGATGACCTACATGTTACGAACGTAACTTACCGTGCCGCTCATAGGGTTTTTGGCTGGTTCCGACATAATCCCCGCTCTCTGCTGAATCTGCGACCGCATGGTGAGCAGAGCCCGGCCGAGGCCACCGCGTGTGATGATTGAGCCAAGCATATTGTCAAAGTTAAGGTTTTATTTGCTGTATTTCGTAGCGGTTGCAAAGGTCGACGCTCTGGTAATGGTGAAGGGCATCCAAAATGGCGGCCACTTGGTCCAAAACGAGGCTGCAGGGACTCGCCGTATCGAACTGTTAGGACTTATTTGATTGGCTCAGCCCAGACCAAAGGCTTCCTCAACTTTTGAGGTTATTGGCAATAGTTGACGCATTAGTAGCACAATTTTTCGATATTTACGGAATAAATATATCTATAATTAGATTATATTGTGAATAAAGTTTTATTATCATGCTTTTTCTGCAACTTTTGCACATAGCGTTACCGTTGTTTGCACCAATCAAAATGACTGTGAGATCGCCATCTTGGCTAACCATTTCCGAAGATTTCCGAATGCAACATCATCTTCCGAATATCCGGCAAACATGATTTAACGGTATTGTTGGGTTTAGAGTTCCGGATTCCGGATATTCCGGTCAAAATAGCCAACCGGGGATGTTAATCATAATCGCTGATCTTCCGTCATTCCGTATTGTGTTTTCAAACTGCCCTTCCGGACTATCCCGAGTACTTCCGACTTTCTCCGAACAAAACCGACTATGCAAATTACCATCGCCGAGGGATTTTGTGTAGCTTCACTAGAGACGTCGAGCTTCCACCTTGCACTGCTACTAAATTCGGTCTGGGGAGCTTTCTAGGTTGACACGGTACGTAAAATTTGTTGCTAGAATTTCTCTACGTTTTCTCATGACTCGGAATTCCCCCTGTGTGTCGCCGTTAAGTGTTCCGAGACCAGTGCTGACGGGGTTTGTTTGGGGAACGTGAGATCTTGCTGGATGGGGGTGCAAAATTTTATGTTCTGAGCCAAAATTTTCGGCTAGAAAAACCCCGTCAAGTGTTTTCCAAATAGGTTACTAGCCGTTCGTGTGTCGGCTAGATATCCTCTAGTACAGGAAAGCTAAGATCCAGCATTCTCAAACTACAGGGTTATGATTATTCAACGTTATAAGTTGCTGCCGTGCACACACGCAAAAAAAGTGTGGTTCCGACATGGCTGTGCAGGTTGTTGTGACTTAGGTGCAAAACCAGACTACACACTTCCAACCCTTGGATAAACCTGTAATTTTTCCTGGGTGGGGAAGGGAGTGAAAATGTTTGAGGGTGTGCCAAAAAAAGTCTGTTCTACAAGTTCCCACGGTTCAGGTACTACGTGCAGATGCACAAATTAGAGCTCACTAAATTAGCACGTACCTGTGAACTGCTGGAACAATGACCCCGCAAATTATAAAATATTGCCTACTGTGGTTCTCTCCTTTCAAAATAGATTATCAACCCACTGCCTTCACATTGATGGAAATACTGTTGCGCTAATGGACTGTATTTGGGTCATTAATGCGTTAAAACAACACGAAAAACTCATTGGTATGTCTACCTCAGAATTGAAATGTAAAATTTGCAAAACATTTTCAGTGTTTACAATCCAATTTGTAGTAGTACATGTATTATGCTTCAACCATAACATACTGATTTCACATGTACATTTGTTGTTATTTGTACTATGCACAATATACGATCAGTTAGTTATACAAAGTACAGCATAGTCACTATTTGAAGCTACCCTGTAATATTACTGTACAGGATATCAATCATAGAAAAACTGGATAATTTATATTAACAAAACAACAGTTTGTCCATTTTTTCACCCCCATATATTACATGTACAACTGCAAGTGACAGTTCTTTGAATTTCTGACAATGTAGAATAATAGACTTGGCCCAGAAATATGCTCCTTGCACATAACAGCTTGACTTGATTATAAAGGCTCTTCTAATTCTATGGAGCAGACAAGGCTCTGTGTGCCGAGAGGTTACAAAGCAGCAGAAGGCGAAACACAGCTAGAACTTATACTATTGGTCACCGCTGCGATGTTATGATACATGAGGAAAGTATTGTCAACATATGATATAATTTTGATATCACTTTACATCATCATCTATTAATAAGTATTATTAGTATTAGCCTCCTGACCCAAAACAGTTTTTTTTGCCAGGTAGCTGAGCTTTTTGTGGCATTTTGGTATCGTTTGTTTGATAAACTTGGATCTATAGTTTGTGAAAAATCATTTCTGAAAAACAGGACATTCTTGTTCAGCCTAATATTGTAATAGCTGGACCAAATTATTCTGAAATGTTAGTATTTTGTGTAAAAGTTGCAGCAGACAGTGTTATTGTAAGGAATTATGTGATAGATTGGACAGGAAACAGAGAACGATTTTGGAATGTGGTAATTTTTATCATCTCACCACACAAGACTCCCAGGCATGTAGCTATGTTTATGCATTTTGTATTTCTCGTAGTTTGTACAATATGCTGTCTGGGACCTTGTCCGTTTGATTTTACTGACAAGATGTGAAATTCCTTGTGGCCTGTGAAAGACGTAAAACTTCCATGTTTGTTCTACGTGAGCTAATCATAATTTCACAGGGTCTTCAGCAGGCTAATAATGAAGTAACCATTCTGGGGACAGACCTTCATTTGCCCATTTTCCTTCGGTGATCCTCGACAAAAAAAGAACCGCATGCATCCCTCGTTTGTCATTTGGTTTGTTGTGGGTTTACGTTGTTAGTCAGGAGGAAAACTAAGCCCGACCTCCATGTCAAAGGACAGCTTTGTTTCGTCTGACACCAGAGTGTTGCTGTTCACATTGTTTCCTACGCATTCCTTGCCA